GGGAGCTTAAAGGCGATGTGGCATAACATCTCTGCTATCAAGGTGTTCGGTCTGAAGATGAAGCGATTGATATTTCTGAGCTCTGGGTGATCTGTAACTATCAAGAAGTCAGAGTGATCCTTGGGAGGGTTAGAAGGGTTGAAGAATCCACACTGAGGAGGGCAAGGCCAGTTTGATTTGAGCATGAGAATTCAGGAGCAGGACGGTCAGAGGAGTGAACATAAATCTAGAATGAGAGATGTAAACAGGAGAACCGGTCTGAGACCATGTGCCTCTGAAGTTATCAGTTACTCTGGTGCCTTTTCAACGAACCTGCCCTATGTTCAGATTTGTTTGGGTAGATTTTTAGAAATTGAAGACTAACATTGAGTTCTATCAGAATGGACTGTTTTTTAAGCAGCTACCATCATTTCAGAAAATTAAAATTGTATTTGCATAAATAACAAAAGTAATCTCAACAAAATAAATTTAGCTCAATTGGAAATTCACCATGCACTTATGTTGCTTATTTCACCACTAACTGGTGAACACTTTGCTACACACTAGCATCTGTCCCTAGGCCATTGCTCCCTGGCTCCTCCCACTCCAAAGGATGCTTTAGGTCAGCACCTGTCCTTCATCTCAAATGGTCATGCAGAATTCCTCAGGTGAGGGAGCCCACATTTTCTTTTCAATATATTATTTTTATTGATTTCAGAGAGGAAAGGAGAGGGAGAGAGGGATAGAAACATCAATGATGAGAATCATCGATTCTCTCTGCCTCTTGCACGCCCCACACTGAGGATTGAGCCCACAACCCCGGCATGTGCCCTGGGTGGAATCAACTGTGATCTCTTAGTTCATAGGTCATGTTCAACCACTGAGCCACACGGGCTGGCCTACATTTTCTTAAAGATAATAATTTACATGACTATAGAGTCTGTATTATCGTACTATACCCTGGGGTTTTACTTAACTGGCTATTTTAAACAATTCTTTATGTCATATATCTGTGTGTGCATAATTGTGAGTTTTGCCATATTCCCAGAGAAAATTACACTTTTTTTTTTTGGCTGAACCTAGATGGTAGAGGGGGAAACCCCCTCAGAAAAGAAAAATGCTGCCTTTACCAGTACCATGAAGCTCTTACTTTTGACTTAAAATCTTATTTTTAATATCCAAATATAGACATGCAGCCTTTATAAAGAGGAAGAAAATTAAAGTCGAAGCAATTTTCCTAACTTTACTAAAAGAGTGTGCCGATCAGAAAAAATCAAATTCTATTTCACCTCCATGTCATCAGAAGCCCCGTGATATAAGTTGAAAAACAAATAGTGGCCCCGCTGGCATGGCTCGGTGATGTTTCTCTCTCTCTCTCCCTCTCTGAAATCAATAAAAATATGTTTAAAAATAAATAAAAACAAACAGTGTGGGTGTACACCACGGGTGTTACTATTACTAGGAGCCTTCCAGGGCAGTATGTACATTTACCTCTGCTTACTGGTGAATGAGGGATTGCGGCCTGAACGTTAACATAACCTCAGGTACAGCCAAGAAGCTCCGCGGGGATTTAACAGTTTGTGGAACAACTCCAAAACCGGCGCTGCGCTCTCCTCTTTCTCTGCCTTTCTGCTTCTCTAACTCTCCCTTTTCAAATTAAAAAAAAGAACGCGTGGTAATGCATCATTTATAAGTTACCTTGTTATTGCAGAAACAAAACACTGCTTTGAAAACCAAACAAACTCCTGCTGCGCACTCCCGCGCGTTTGATGGAGGCCCTTCAAAAGAGTCCCCGCTCGGCGGAGGTTGTTTATTGGAGTCTGCGATCGGTACCTGCTGTCCCCCTCCCTCCCGGGAACCTTGGCGGCAGATGTTGCAGCGCTCGGTTGTCTCTGAAGCGGCGTTCTGTCCCGCTCTCCCCACCGCAGTGGAGTCAAACCGCATTAGATCTCGGTATCTGCGCCTACGGCAAGTTTGGGAGCGCAGCTGTGTCCACCCCTGCTCCTACCTTTGGTGTTTCGGGCCTCCAGGCAGCGGCTGAGACCAAAACGGTCCGGCCGCTCTCAGCTCCTCCCCGGGCAATGCGGCCGCTCGCTGGCGGCTGGGGAGGCCGCCGCCGCCGCTGCAAACAGATGTCGGCGACAACCTGCGGGCTCACACCTGGCCGCGGCCCGGCCCTCGCCCAGCGCCGAGACCTTCATGGCTCGGAGGGGGCGCGGCCCCACAGCCCGCAGACGTACAGCCGCCTCGGCAGGAGCTGGCGGCGCGGAGAGGCAGCGGGAGCGAGGGACGCGGGGACGGCTCCCGCCGCTTTGATACTTTATGCCTGAACTTCAATGACTTGATCAAGGACTTCAATTCAGCCGTGAATTCTGCCAATGAGCCCGGCGCGGCCTCCGCGTCATGAAAGGAGAGTATTTGACTTGCAGAATAAGTGTGCGTGACTCTGGGTTTAGTGCTACGTTCGCTGATTTGTTTATTAAACGGAACTCTCAGGAGGCAGAATCTGCAGTAAACAACTTATAAATAAATGACAAGACTGTTTTCCAAGGTAGGAAACGTGCCGCTGACGAGGCAGAGGTTCTGTTATATTGGAGCCATCAGCCACGGCCTGAAAACAATTGTGTTTTACTGTTTCTTAAACATCATAAAGTTTGTTCTTTTTCCTTTTTTAAGAAAAAAAGACTATTCCTTCCTTTAAAAATTCGGAAATGAAAGCACTCTCGTTTGTTTCCTGATAATATAAAACAAACTGCATTCAATTCCAACTAGAATATTTTTCCAAAAGCCTACCTAATTCCTATAACATACAAATTGCTTTATATTTACACACACACACACACACACACACACACACACACACACCCCTCCTACACCATTAAACAAATACTTCACAAGAAGTATACTCAGTAGTAAACATACACCAGCTTTTATGAGTACAGGAAAATAACAAAATTATGTGCAAATGTTATTCAATTTATATGAAAAAAAAATGCAGTCAAAACAACTCCAACACTAACCTTCTCATTCAATGATTTCCCGGCTACCAAGAAAATCCAACACAAAGAGCCCTGCCACTGGGACATCTTGATCCATGTTAGGCACTACCTCAATATTTGTTGTTGAATGAACGAGACTAATGCATCCTTTCAAAAACCAAATATATCAACTTATCCAAACTCAAAGATCTCTTCTGTTCCCAACCTATTCTGGTTTTAACTTCCAACCTCATACTTCCTAGTAATCCACAAATGATAGTATTCTTGGCCGCCTCAGAGACTTTGCTCATGATGCTTCGTCAATGGAAATGCTCATTCTACCTAACTCCACCTGATGAAATCCTACCTTTTTTCAAAGACATAATGCCTGTGTTTTTGAAAAAGCATCCAAAATTCCTCCAAAAGGAAGATTTAATCTCTCTTACTGTATGCACTCAAGATCACATTCTGGAGTAAACATTATTTATATATGTATATGTCTCGGTTCCCAAACAAATTTCAGGTTTCTTAAGAGCAAAAGCTACAGTTTGTACACCACCTGCCCCCTTGGTTAGTATTATCTGATGCCATTACTTGTACATATTTATAATAAAAATTATTTAATTAAATCAAAATTGATAGGAATTTTGAAAGACTGAAAAATAAATTTTAATTATGGGAATTAAGAGAATATATAAAGTATTGGCAAGAGTGCTAAGAGCATTGTCTGTTTTTGCTGGCCAATACATCTTCAGTGTTAGCAATTCCCAACACATGAACTAATGTCTAACATGAGGAAGAGAAAGTCTAGCATATTGAATGATAAGTAGAGTTGCTATATATTGTTGCAGAAGCAGAACTCCAAATCATGTGTACATTTAAACAGAGGTACTATTAAATATAAGACCACTCTATTAGCCACAGAAGTCTAGTAATGAAAACGTCTGCTTCAAAAACTACCTCATTCTCTCTACCTGTGGTACTAGCAAAGGGTAAATGATCTGGGAATATTCCCGGAATATTTTCTAAAATTAGATTTCCTAAATGGTTGAATTCAGATATTTCTGAAATCACCCCCATCTCATAGGAGTAAAATCGTAAGATTTAGACATTTTTGTCTTTTAAATACCATGACAGAACCATACAACACTAAATATAACTTTAGCTTGGCACTGTAAAATAAATATGAATCTCATCACTTATTTATCCTTAAAAAAATAGCTTATTGCACCTGAATGAACCGAAGTCCTCTGAAGCTGAAGTGAATGATGTTCAGGGTCGTGCTGACACATAATGAAAACACTGTTGTTACCACTAACAGTGGTGTGTTCCTCAACAAAGCTCACTATTGTTACATACCAATAGGTTTTAAACATTTTTTTTCTACATTGATACAATAGCAAATAGTGCTAATATATTAAAGAAATTATAAAACTGGAGGAATTCTAGACAAATCTCCAAAAACAAAAAAAGCTTCAAGTAGGCTTACTTGGTAGAGAAAATGCATACACATGTGTATTTGTATATTTCTATACATATGTGTACGTGTGTATATATTTCTATAATGCTTTCAAAGACACTTTCATATATTTAAGAAATTAGATTCATCAACTGTTGGAGGCAGGGAAATAACATATTTATACCGAGAAATAGAGGCTCTGAGGCGTGTTCTCCAGTCTTCATTGCTAGGAAATGCTAGAGAAAGACTTCAATTCCTAACCTGGAGTCTGTCTCCCCAATGGGTGAAACCTCAGAACATGATGTCGTCCAAGTCAAAGGCTGAAGCAAAGAGTGTGCTCATTAAAGCAAGTGTACAGTGGGCCATACTTTTTTATGTATTACTTGAAAAGGGACTTATTAAACTGCATCTTGAAGATGTAGTCTAACAACAGAAAATTTATTAAGCACCATATATAATAGGAGATGATAATTCCTTCCTCAAATGTACTGAGGGCTTTAATTTCTTTTTGATTATTATTATTTCACTTTCATTATACAGACCCACGCAGTCAGCTCCTTCCCAACACATCCTCGCATACAAACCTCATCTCCTTCCTGAGGTCGCATCAGGGAAACCCGGTCATACTGCCGCCGCAGCAAAGCCCAGAGCGCATCCAGCCGACCCTAAAGGGAACATATTTGTAAATTCCTAAGGAAAACACGCAACCTCTATTGCCTGAATATATCAGTTAAAATGAAGATGGTACAGCCTAATCCAGGGGTGGGCAAACTTTTTGACTCGAGGGCCACAATGGGCTCTTAAACTGGACCGGAGGGCCGGAACAAAAGCATGGGTGGAGTGTTTGTGTGAACTAAGATAAATTCAAAGTAAACATCATTACATAAAAGGGCACGGTCTTTTTTTTCAATAGTTTTATTCATTTCAAACGGGATGGATCCAGCCCGCGGGCCGTAGTTTGCCCACGGCTGGCCTAATATCTACTCTCACTTTTTTCATAAATTAAAATAAAGAATAAGTAAGTAATAAGAAGAGGAGGTCCTTGTCGCTGAGAACACATTCAGTGGCTATAATGCAGACTGCATGTCTGCTATGTGATGGACCTGGGTCCTCCTTCAGAGACTTGGGAGGGGAGGACAAAAAGAGTTACAGTTTCTCTGGGAAATTTCAGTTAAATTACACAGAACTTGGGCAATACCTTAATTGGTGTGTACCACTTTGTCTGAGGAGGCTGGTACGAGGGTCTGGGTCGAGGTGGCCTCGGTCGGATGGGTTCCTCTGTTTCTTCAGGGATTGTCACCACAGCATTTTTGGCTTTCTCTAGCCTTGCACCTTCCTCAGTAGATCCTTTATCACCCCAGCGAACCTTTCAAACGAAGGGGAAAACATTATCTCAGATATACAGTGTCTTGGAAAAATAAGTTCTGATTTAACCAACGGTCCTTCAGTTCACCACGTCAGAGTAAAAAGAAGATGCATAGTAGACTAACTCTAAATTTCTCCTCTTCTGAGATTTAATAGGTTTATCACCATTACTTATGGTCTAACATTAAGATCCCAGAAAAAATAAAAATAAAAAGCCCTTTGTATAAATCTAGAGTTAATTAAAATTCGAAGCAACCATTTTTCCATTGTTTCAAATAAGGAATTAATAGGTAGTTCATAATGCCTGATAGTCTATAATCCTATTCTTTAATCGGATAGGGCCCTCTTCCAGCTAAACACATACCCATATATAGAATACTGATGGCACTGAGGAAAACAGATGATAATAACGATAATTACAATTTATTGAATGCTTACTATGTGCTCACCTGCATTTAATTCATATAAAAATGCAATGAGATACTGTATTTTGCCTTCCAGATGAGGGAACTGAGACCCAGAGAGGATAAGTGACATACCCAAAGCCACATAGCTAGTAAGTAGAGGGCAGAGATTTGAATGCAGATAGTCTGAAATAGGTTAATAAGTTTCAAAGAGGTTTGAATTTTATAAATGTATTTTACACAAAGGAGTTCATTGTTCCTTCCAAACTTCTCATAAAGTTTGATTGAGGCGAAATGTATGATTTAAACATTTATTCTTCAGAAGTAAAATAACTATATATGTTTTTTCCTTACTTTTGTAAAGCTTGATTTTGTAAAGTGACTTTCAGTCTTTAGTTCCTGTTCTCATCTGAGTATGGTTACTTGATAGAACAGTTTTTCATTGAGGAAGACAAATTTTGAAGAAAAAAAACAAACTCGGTTATGGAAAGAAAATTTCAGAAACACCAGGGATTTCCACAAATTTTAGGGAATTTTATTCTCTGAAAATTCTGGGCATTAAAAAACCACAGGGTCAACCGATTGTTTTCTCTGTTTTAAAATGAACAAGAAATAAGAGCTAAATCTGAGCTCAGCTTTTTCATGTGTGAGCATGTGAACAAGATGCAGCCCCTAGAAAAGGCTTCATCCAACCAAGAGCAGTGGAGAAGTCCAAAGCCAAGGGCATTGCCAAAGATGACAGAGGTAACATAAATGAAGCTCTAGAAAGAAGTAGGAAGGCCTGTCCAGGGCACACTGATTCAGCAGAGTTAAGTGATTTCTACAAAGAAAAAATTGTTAAGTCCATTTTAAAGCATTTTAATGACCTCAGTGGGTTGGAATACAGATAATCCCTATTCATAGAAAGAACTATTCCCCGCTTTTTGGTAAGGCTTCCTTAGATGTTTTTAGCTTCTTTTTTTTTTTTTAACTACAGTTTTAGAATAGGCTTTCAATTTCAATTGGGCCCTATTGACTCATCAAAATGTATCTGTATCTCTCGGTATGATCAGTGGTACTGGAATGTTCTTTATGAGGGTGTTAAATTGCTTTAAACACCATTAAACCTTTAGAGCAAGATAGCTGGCTCTCCTTCCAGAGAAATGACCTTCTCTTTCAAATCACAGCACCTTCACCTAGATAAACTAAGACTTCTAAAATCTTTAGATACAGCTAAATTGAACTACAAAACCCTAACATCAGGACACATATCCTTGCAGTTGTAAAGTCTCAATTTTAAGGGGAGAAACAAAAAATGGAAAAGATGCAGTAAAGTAAACATACAGTATTATAACTCTGAAAGTAATTCGGAATAGAAGTATAAGAAGATACATTTTAGATCCATGTAGAAAAGATAGATTTTAATGCTTCTCAGCCTAACCTTCACAGCTGGCATCCCAAAGGTCATGGTAATCATCTTTTCCCTCCAAGTTTCACTGAAAAACCAATCTCAGATAAAGAACCCAAAGCTGGTTAAACTAGAGTTCTGACCCAAGATGGCATTTCCAGGAACTCAACTATCAAGACACTACATGTATGAAATATGGTTGCTGAGCTCTAAAGGAAATTCTTCATGTAAATCTACTAGTGTTAGTTCATGAAGTAGCTGTTTTGTCATCATCACCATCAGACAAACAACATAACAAACGATCTCACTTCATCTCAAAGTCTAACTTTATAGTTTTCCTAAAACTCTTAAAAGCAGTTGAGTATGTACACAAGTATATGTATACATTTTAATATTTTAGTTTGACCACATTAAGATGGTCACAAAGGATAAAAGAATACAAGACTAAATCACCAAAGGGAGACTTAGCAGAGTTCATATACATGGATATTTTTTCGGGGGTAGGAGGCGGGGGGGGGCAAAGTAAGCACAAGCTAGATAATTAAGTTCTTCCAACTCTGCTTGACTTTCATGATAAACAATAATATTCCATAATTTTCAGAGAATATTTGGATGACTAGAAGGTTATATTATAAAGGAGCAATTTCAGAATCAAGAAAAGAAACAAAAGCAGTTTCACGCTGAATTGGCAGAAACACACATTTGAAGTCATTAGGTATTGTGGATCAGCTGTGCTAACAGCTGTTATTAACATCAGCTCAATTCCAGTTTTCTACAAATTTCTATTACCATAGTTCTAACTAAAATCCCTATACCAGCTTAAAATAGCATTAGTTATGAAGATTTGTTCTGTAATTCAGATGTGGTCATAATTTCTAGAATTCCTTTTACTTTCCCCAGTTCAATGAATTTTTTCAAAGAAAATGCTTTCCAGGTTTGGATAGGCAAAATTTTAAAGCAGATTATGTGTTCTGTTTTCCCTCTCCAAGTTTAGGTAAGTTCATGTTTGAGAAAGTTTAATGATGTTTAACGATCACTTCAATTTTTATTGTGTATTTTTAGGTATTGCATTTCCCCTTTGTAATGTCCACATTTAATTTTTCATTTTTTGTCATTCTCACTCCCATTTCCATCTTATTGATGGAATACACCATAAAATGTAGCCAGAATTATCTAAAGCTAAAATGGACCTCAATTATTAAAAGTGGGTGAATCCTTGTCATAATGTTTTTCTCAACTGAATAGAAAGAGGCAATATAATTTCACATGTTAAGAGAATAATGCTTAAAACTTAAAGTACAAGTTATTAAAAAATGTGTGTGAATCCTTGGCTTTCTTGAGCATAAACCAATAATATACCCTTTAACTTAGGACCTTTTCAGCTTATGCCTATGCTTTTCTTTAGAAAGAGATCTCAATCTTTGGGACACTGAAATATTGAACTAGCGAAAATCTGGCATAATTCCTAGAGTTTTAACAAGAACATTATTTACTCATCTAAAATATACTAATATATTACATACTAACACATACGTATCTTGTTGTCATGTGGTATTCTACAAGTGTAGATTTCAAAATGAAATTAAATTTATTGTTCTGAATACAGGATTGGGCAAAAGTAGATTTATAGTTGTATAAAAATTATACAATAACTAGTAAATAATAATACAATAATAAACTATTTCACATACTCAGAACTATAAACCTACTTTTACCTCACCCTTATGAGTTCAATGTGAAATAAATAAGGAAAAAATGGAGATATATATAGCACAAATTGAAAATCACTCCATGCAGAGAAAACTATTCTAACGATTTGTGGTATATCATGTCAAAACTTTATTTTCCCTTTGCAAACATCTTTTTACACATTCATTTTGAAATGAGGCTAACTAAGCTAAAAATAAGTTGTGATATCATATATAGATATCCAAATGTAACACTTATTTACAAGTGTATTTTCTATATACAAAGGAATATCTAATCCACGCTTTCCCACGCCTCCAAGGCTAGAACGGCATAGCAAAGGCAGGCTGAAGGAAAATGGCCTTCCTTCTGTATCAAGCAACAAGAGCTAGCCCAGTTATGGTCTTCATACTACTTGATATTCCCAATTACCCACAGGCAAACCAGATGCAATCTTCTCTCCAAAAGACAAACTTAATAGATTTTAGCACTGGCCTTTTTCATGGCTTATAGGCAATGAGGTACTTGTCTCTAAAGATATTTCCACAATAGAGTGGCAAGCTTTTATGGATAATGTGCATTATTTTAACATGTAATGTGCTCAAGAACGTGACAATCACTATCAGATGACTTGAATAACCATTTCGATAATGACAACCATGTTAAGTAGGCCTAAGCTTTTTTTTGAAAACTACTGAAATTTATTGTAAAAAGAGGAAACTTTTATTGGGAATCTGAAATTTATTGAAGTGTTTAAAAAAGAAAAAGTTTTGAGGTTGCTAGTTAGCTAATTGACTTCTGCTGGCAGTGATGGGACAAAGCAGATATGACAGAAGACATGTGCCATGACTGCACAACATAAAAAAAATTCCTTATCAAGAGGTAAAATTAAAGGAGAAAAATATCAAGATCTGTGTTTAATAATGAAGGCAATATATCAATGAAAAATTCTTTCAATTCTCGTTGGGGTGAGATGCTGGCATATTTGAACTAGTGAAGGGCTCAGTGCTGGCAATGATTGCATATTATTAATTAACTAGAGGCCTGGTGCACAAAAATTTGTGCACTCCGGGGTGGGGGTGGGGTCCCACAGCCCGGCCTGTGCCCTCTCACAGTCTGGGACTCCTTGGGGGATGACCACTTACTTGCTGGCTTAGGCCTTCTCCCCAGGACATTGGGCCTAAGATGGCAATCAGACATCCCTCTGGCAGCCCGGCAGCCCTCAGGGGATGTCCACTTGCCAGCGGGGAGCAGGCCTAAACTGCA